TCAGGAGCTACTTAACGGGCAAGCTCTGTGGAAATGACTCATTTAGTGCTTCTGTCCCGTGCATACGGTATGTATTTTTATTACACATACTAGAAAATTGTACACCCCGTGCATCGCACGGGCTCTGTATTAATAAATGACATTAAAATTGTGCACCCTGTGCATCACCCGTGTTCACATTTTGGCCTATTACAGGTCACGTACTATATATATCCCGTACATTTTTTTTATTCATTTATATAATTATAAGAATGGATAAATGACCCTTAAATTGTGCACCCCGTGCATTGCACGGGCTCTATACTAGTGAAATGAAAGATTAAATACATCAAAAGTAATAGTTTTTGGAGGGAAAATGATTAAATTGCCAAATAGGTAATATTAAATATGTTTTATTAAATGCTATTAACTAATAATTATATATATATATATATATATATATTTATATATATAGACCTATTTCAATACTTAGCCAATCGATCCAAAATTATTTTATAGTTAACAAACTCGCCAAGTGATCAGTCGATATAATTCTCAATCACATTACAAAACAGATAAAATTATTAAAAGCAACCGTAAATAAAAATAACAAAAGTACACTTATTAATTCTCATCACATTACAGCAAACAGATAAAATTATAAAAAAAGCAACCGTAAATAAAAATACAAAAAGCATAGTTAATTAATTTTCCAAAGTTTCTTTCGCCATTATTTAAATCCTTGACCTCAGATTTTTCCTCAAGATTTTACCCGATGGGGCTCTTGGGATTTCCTTAGTGAAAAACACCCTATGAATCCGCTTATAAGACACCACCTGTGCAAAATTATTTAAATGAAATTTGTCAGATACATATTTGTTACAATAATAATGAAGAAGAAGAAGAATACGATAACTGAAGTAACGATGGTTGACGAGTGCGGTCCCACATACGTAAAGCGCACTAAAGCAGGGTGAGTTTAAATGGGCCTCAGTGGGGTTCTTTTCTTGTATAGACGATGTGAGACAACTCAAAAGTGTATATTCCAACAATAACAAGAAGAAAATAATACCAGCTTCGAGATGTATTGTTTGATATCCTCCTCCGAAATGTTCGAACAGTTTGCCGGAACCACAAACGCAACTGGAACTTCACCGGCGGCCTCATCCTTCATGCTGTCAGATACAAATATGTTATCCGCATCACATATATATTATTAATTCGTACCTTTAATCAAATAACAATTTGTGCAATATTGCAAAATATATCCACTAATTATTATAACTACTAAAAATAGAGCTCATGTCCAAATTAAAAATTCAAACATAAGAAAAAAAAAATATATATATTCACTAATGAATTTAAAAAATTCCATGTAATTCACATATTTTAACATAATATTCACGATTTAATCGCTTAGTGGCCATTCTGTGTTATCACGAAATTAAGTTTATTCATATAAAAATGACGTTCCTCAATTTTTCTTACCAAAAAAAATAAAATAAAACTTATAATATTTTCCTTATTTCAATATAAAATAGAATTTTGGAAATTCGTTACATAACTATATTTTTCTTATAAATTTTATGCTTGACAATTATTTTACCATAAAATAATAATAATAAATAAATAAAAAACTTACGGCACAACGGCAGCATCAGATATGGAGTTATGAGCAATGAGCAAAGCTTCTAATTCTGCAGGCGCAACATGGAAGCCTTTGTACTTGATGAGTTCTTTCAACCTGTCTACAATGAACAGTTCATCGTCATCGTCCACGTACCCAATGTCCCCCGTGTGCAGCCATCCCTCACCGTCGATTGTTCTCTTCGTCGCCTCAAGGTCGTTATAATAACCTTTGTATTTTTTTTTAACATCCATGGTTAGTTTAATTAACCACAGGGGTAAAAATCACAAATCTATGTACAATCTTTATAAGTATAAGAGATTAATTATAATAGGGATAATTCATCATTTATTATTATTATTATTATTATTATTATTATTATTATTATTATTATTATTATTATTATTATTATTGGGTCCAAATACAAAAAATTTAGCCTACTTATTATTATAAATTGGTCACCCGTGAATTTATGATTTCAATTATAGTTAGTCCTCATTACAATTTCCAAACCATTGACTATATAATAACATATGGTTTTCTTTTAGAAAAAAATAAAATATCAAATTTTTGACTACTTAATAACAATTAAGCTAGCCCTATTTACCTAACACTAGCAAATATATCACATCTATATGAGTAGTAAATTAATTAATTCATTAATTATTGTACGAGACTTGTCTATACTTTCAAATGTCATAATTATATTTATGTTTTTTTTAATCAAAAGTTCGACAATTATGAAGAGAAAATATATCGATTTACTTGGTAGACCAGTCTAACATAAGACTAATCGTTGCATTATGCATCGAGGTCTTGCTCGATAGTAATTATTAGTAACTAAGTATAGGTTAGAAATAATTAAAAAAAAAAAGTAAACTGAAATAATTGTTTAATTACGGCATAATTTTATAATTAATTACGTACCTTTCATTATGGAAGCTCCTCTTACACAAATCTCCCCCTTTTGGTTCCTTGGAAGAGATGCCCCGGTCAACGGGTCAACCACCTTCATCTCCACATTTCTAACTACGGTTCCACACGAACCGGATTTGAACCGGAACGGTTTTCTGGCAAATCCTAGACAAATTGATATTACTCCAGCTTCTGTCATGCCATAACCCTGTTCATTTTATGAAAATAAAAAAATTAATTAATTAATTAATTCATTAATCATATTAACTAATCTTGGAATAAATTGACTAATAATGATACCATTTTTAGAAAATTTGGAAAATAATGCACGCATCATGATATCATTAACTTAGAATGTAATTGTAATCATTTTAAGTCTTTTTAAGGCCATTTTCTTTTACTCATGAAATATTGGGGAAGGTATATTGACCAGAGCCGTTAGATCCGATTGAGTCAATGTCCCCCCCCACGACGAGTTCTAATTTAGTCGCTTTAGGCCTCTGGCCTCCATCTTTGTACCAAAAAAAAAAAAA